AGTACTTCAATCTTAACCCTAAAAAGCCAGAAGTATGGGGGAACACTTACAAACAAGGGGGTTCCCCCCCCCCGAACTCGGCCATCCCATACACGAGCTTGATGAAACTTCGCGAAGTAAAGACAATCCTACTCAATACAAATAATCAATAGATCACTACATGCTCAGTTCAAATGAAGATTGTTGCTATGGCCAATTGAAGTTTGGGGCCACGCGCTTGCCTGCGTGTCCAAGCAACGTGTGCGCGCGGAAAAAGTGTAGGTTTTGGGCTGCTTCGGGAAAATGAACACCACGCCAGAACAGCAGATCCGATTCTCAAAAAATAGGTGAAAAATGATTGTAATGAGTTAGGCCTACTCAACAAAAGCCTGGAAGACCCAAAGCGTGAAAAATGCACTGTGAGGCTAGAGACAAACTGTGGAATGGGCGGCTTTATTTTGGGGACGGGGGACAGACCAAAGAAAAATGGACTGCGATTTGTAGAAAATAATCATTTTGCCCTTCCCCCAACCCCAATCTGTGCCCCCCCCCGAAAAGCAAACTTCATGAAAAAAATGAAAAAGGACTTAAAAACCCTTTTTTTACGAAAACGTGGGGATCCATCCCCTTCAAAAAGTGAGCGATTACTATACACCAAGTCTCCTGGGATACTAATCAGCTCCAGGTGAAATAAGTAATCCGCCCGGACGGAATAGAAAGCAGAATTTGTTTTCAATCATGTCCTATATATGCTTCCGTATGTATGCCTGGGGTGATAATTACAAAAAAAATATTTACCAAATTGGCCTTTTGGAAAAAAGTTGTGACCATATTGATGATATGTATCGATCTGTATCCCGGCTCAATTGGCCCTAGTTAAGAGTAATGACGGCAAACGAAGATGCGTATAGAACAGAAAGAGATATTACAAATAGAAAAACGCGTTGTAAATGTGCCCCACGAGTTAACTGGACTTTATATTTTACTAATCTAAAATTACACATCAAGAATACAGTACATTTGCTCCAATACTGATTGCCCGTGGAATCAACATGTAGTCTGAAAAGAAATAAACTTTACAAGCAACATTTCAAAGGAGCAGAGCTACAAAATGAAAAGAATGCATACGTAACCCCTCTTGTAATCCCCTTAACCATTTTTATTACATCCAATTTACGCACCCAACACGATTGAAAGGACCTGCAAAAATGATTACCTTATATATATGTTACCTACATAGTAGAACGAGGGAACGATATTTACATATTATTAAAACGTAGATAGCTAGGCCTAGTTATTATCAAATTAATGGATAAAATTAATTATATGCAAAGTGAGGCCTGTAAAATAAATAATACGTAAAAACAAGCATCACACTCACTAAACTCTATAGTCTAATTCGACCATTCGACCAAATCAAGTCAGACTAAGCGAGGTTACTTTTCCCCAATCAGACACTTTACTATACGGTACGGTATAGCACTCGGCTACTCATAACTTTTTTATATAAGGCGCCCTCATTTTGATAGCCTATCCAACATTAAAATGCTAGAACGTAGGCTTCAAAGTCAGCTATTAAAGTAAAAAATACAGTTGGATGCCTGAGACGGAGCCCGAGGTTAGTATTGGAAAACGGTCCAAGCTACTGAGTGACCGACCCCGCGTGGCGATGGCCTCTATATCCAAAGCATAAACGCACACGTCATGGAGGATCCCGACTCGAGTCAAGTCTATATCCGCGCGATAGTTATCCGATGACAACTGATTAAAACAAGCTGGGACTTTCCTAAGGAAGATGGGTCAAACTTAAATTTACTCATTTTCGAACGTAGGACACTCTGGATTGCAGAAACAGCCTCTCACCTACCCAATACTAGTTAACGCCCATTTCAAAGCAGGTCAGTGCAGGACATGTCAGTCCGCCATTAATTTG